CGACATTTATCAGTGATTGATATTGAACAAAAATGACAGTTGGTTTTCTGTGATGGATGGGAACTAGGTCAGAACATTCAATCATTCTCGGTTGAAGTTATTCAATTTGCCAGTTTTAGAAGTCTTCACCACAAAATTATCATTTTGTTCATATCATGTTAATATAGGAGATACATGACCAACCTTAAGATATGTCAGTTGAGAAAGACCCTTATTTAAGGTTTGTTCCAAGCCACCAGTGGGTCACTATTTTGCTAACATGACAATAGTGGAAGAAATGCAACATGCAACATTTTGTAATGTCCCAGAAATATAGAACCATAAAGACCCTTATTCTGTGATGTTTGATCTGATTTGTCAGAGGGACTTCAATGCAAGATTTGATCAGGGACTTGTGTTCTAACATCCACATTCAGGCAGGGACACAAATGATCTCTTCATATCAACTTCCCAAGATGATGTCCATCCAAACTCAAGGGTTCTCAGGTCCTTCAAACTGGCGACCCCTAAATTTGACTTGTTAACCTGATGACCCATTCATTAGTAGTTATGGATGCTGCAAACCAGCTCCATCGATGGTCCGGACCATTGGATATTAGGATATTTTGTGTAGAGACTGGATATTTTGTCAACAGCAGCAAAACAGATATTTCTTGAATCAGAACTATGCACCTAACTACCCATTTATACAATCATCGAGAGGAATGTATTCTTTGTGGCAGACAATTTCCTCCTTGTTCTCAACAGTCTCAAGCGTAATTGTTTTTTCACGCATTTCCTGGGATAAAGTATGTTTTCTTTTTTGATGAAATCCCATGCCCCCTTAGAATATAAAATGGCCGGTCCTGAAGTCAATGGCCTCATCCAATCTGCACCGTTTTCCTCATGCATTAATCTTCATACATGTCCAAGACACAACCCGATACATCCCCAATACCAATGTCCTGGTCTGCTCAACCATGATATTCCAGCCGTCTCTAACAGTAAATTTTTCAAATTGATGCACAGATTAGCTGTGACTGATTCTAGGATGGCTTGGTGAGATGGTTCCTCCTGGGCATGAATAATGAACTAGGTGTGAGTAATACAAAGACTGGGAGCCTCCTGCTTGTTGTCATCAGCCGGGCTGCTGCTGCTGCTGCTACCGTCTATGTTTACCTACTTCCAACACAGGCTGCATGGACTCAGAACCATGCATGTCACAATTGCATTATCTTGAGGCTGTCGATGTACAGGAATTTTTATTGCTGTATTTTGCATATTGATAAAAAATTATTTGGATTTGCTGATTGGGTTATTGTAATACTGATCGTTTTTATGCATTTTGAATTTTGCTCTCTCTAAGTTTGTGTTCCAGTGCAGGTTTTGTAAAGGATGTAGTTTTTATGCAAAAGTTGGAAACTAAATATCTGGTCAACATGAAGTCCAGTTAGCTTGTCTGCAGTGAGGACCCTGTTTGTAGGTACTGTGATGGTTTGTAGATTTCATGTGAATTAAGAATTAAACATAGGTTGTCAATTTCTTAACGATTTAATGAAAAGATGAATTAGCATTGTAAAGTTGTGATCAATTTCCGGTTTAGTCCAGCAATATTACAGTGGGGGACACCAGAAATGGGCTTCACTCATAGTACCCATGTGGAGAATTGAACCCGGGCCTTTTGGCATGACAGGCAAATGTTTTAAACACTAGACTACCCCACCACCCCTGAATATGAAGAAATGAGGTGAAAGTGGGTGTAACATGGCATTGAAGATTATTGCTATTGTACAGTGACATGCATATGTGGTTGTGTCCGGTTTCCTAGGGCCAAAGCAAAGATAGACCATTGGGCAGTTTAACCTTACTCAAATATGGATTACTGACTCAGCTGTTTTATCCCCTTAATTGCTAGCACCAGGCAGAGTACCTAACAACAAGTTCCAATAAGTCTTTTTACGTTGCATGTGTGTGGGGTGGGTTGGACGGGGGTGGGGGTGGTAGCCTAGTGATTTAAGCGTTTGCTTGTCACATGCTGAAAACCCAGGTTTGATTCCCCATATGGGTACAATGTGTGAAGCCCATTTCTGGTGTCCCCACTGTGAACTGTGATATTAATGGAATATTGCTAAAAGCAGCGTAAAATCATATGCACTCACTCACTCATGCTGCACAGCCAGGTCTTGAACTACCAAACTTCAACTCTGATCACTCTCACTCACTCACTTACTCACTCACTCACTCATGCTGCACAGCCAGGTATTGAGCTACCAAACTACAACTCTGATCACTCACTCACTCATGCTGCACAGCCAGGTATTGAGCTACCAAACTTCCACTCTGTGATCAGACTAGACAAAGCCACAGAGGTGGTCACCCAAAATAGACACCGAAAGACTGAAGGTCAGCATTTGCTCTCCTTGTAGACATTGTCATTGAAACTACAGAAGTATCCCTCTGGAGGGCTTATTTCAGGAAAACTGACGACATTGCTCGCCCATGGGAACACCGTGAAAACAGGTGAATCAATTCTGAATGCAGTTAACAAGCAACACATGCACATCAGACTTCCTTCCTCAGCTGCAACAACATGCATGTACAGCCTTTGATGAGACAACTCTTCATACACTGAAATGATCAGTATAGAAATACTTTTAAACTTTTTGATGCAAGTTTTTTTGTTTCCCTAATTTAGGTGAGTTCTCAGACCTGTTTTGTTGCATTTGACCTTTTTCTGTGGTCCTGCTAATGAATAGAATTTTGGAAAATGTAACAATTATTTTATATATTATTTTTTGGGAGACAGATTTTAAAAACATAGCATGTCATTGGTGAAATTGCATATGTCGTGTGTTGTATTGCAAAACATTTCCTGGTCGTCATATTTTTATGCTGGAATTAGTTAGTGAGTATAGTTTTGCATCACTGTCAGCAATATTCCAGCAACATAACAACAGGGGGACACCAGAAATGGCCTTGACACATTGTACACATGTGGAATCGAACACAGTGAAGAGCAAACACTTTAACCTCTAGGCTACCCCACTGCTCCTGAGCTGAAGTGAGCATGAAAATCTTTGCCATGACCCTGGTGTTATGATTTAAAAGTTTCAAATACACCTGTTAAGATCCAGGTTAGAATTGGTCTTCAGCAACTCATGATTGTCGAAAGAGGTAATCAGGTGGTTAGGCTTGATGACTTTGTTAACCTATGTGTTACAAAGATCGATGCTCATGCTGTTGATCACTGGAATGTCTGGTCCAGACTTGGTTATTTACAGACCGTCCCCATATAGCTGGAATATATTGTTGAAGGCCGCTTTAAACAACAAACGAAAACCTTCAAAGACCTCAGCAGCAAATCTCAAGGACCTTATTACTTCCATTAATTTTGAACACTTTTGAGATGGATATTAATTTATTTTTATTTATTTTTCAAATAATATCGAATCTTTGGGATGAAGACATTGTATTCTCAGACAGTATATATTTAGGGATGCCTATCGCTCCTGAAGAAGTGTATATTTCCCAATACATTTATCCTTAAAGCCTTATCATTACTGAAGGTGGAATGGACACGTGATGGCAGTTTGACATTTGGACATACAACAGTATCACGTAATGTAAGAACTGGTTCATGACAGTAATATCAATTCAGTAATCGTTAATAGGAATTACACCCACACAGAAACATTTTTTGGCAATAATAAGACGAGAATCACATTTATTTCAATCTTGTGAAGGTTATTTGTCTTAACTGCTCCAGAGATTGCTTCCCAACCATGTAGGTTTTGATTTCAAACCCAATGTCTTTCATTTTTGCTGCGTTTAGACCGTTTATATTATGCATATATTATTATACATGTGTATACCACATTTGAACAGATGTTACTGCCTAAGTTACTTGCCCAGGGTGACAGTACACGTTTTGACACTTGTGTTTTGGGTATATGTACATATTCATATTTCCAACCTATACAGGTAGCCTAATGGTTAAAGTGTTTGCTCGTCATGCCGAAGACCCTGGTTCGATTCCCCACATGGATATAATGTGTGAAGCTCACTTTATGGCTCTTGTACAGTGACTGACTGACTGACTGAGTTTTGTTTTGCGCCGCTTTTAGCAATATTCCAGCAACATCACGGCAGGGGACACCAGAAATGGGCTTCACACATTGTACCCATGTGGGGATTCGAACCCGGATCTGCGGCGTGACGAGCCAACGCTTTAACCATTAGGCTACCCCACCGCCCCTTGTACAGTGACATGCATATGTGGTTGTGTGTACACATCGGGACCTCCGGTTTCATAGGGCCAAAGCAAAGAGAATATTGCTAAAAGCAATGTAAAACCATACTCACTCCACCCTATACACGTTCTGGTGAGTTTCACGACAGGCTGAGAAGTATAATATACATCTTTCTTCTGACATGAGAAAATTACGAGTACAATATGACTGAAGTACAGGTAAAGGGGGTAACCCACATCGCTAACTCAAACAGTGTTGTCACTTCCCTTCAGCAAGGGAGTTTGCTGTACAATCCGTGTTCCCAGGATGAGGTGAGGTGAGGTGAAATTGGGTTTAACGTCGTGCTTAAGAATATTTCGCTCATATGACGACGTGCATGTGTGTGAATGTGTATGTGCGGCTGCTTGTACTAGCCCAGACTTAAGCTGGTTTTATAGTGCTAGCCCACTGAGATACCATGCCGCATTGAAGCATGAATACCCCACTCAGACACATTATACTGACTCCGAGCCGACCAGTCCTTGTTGTACCCATTAATGCCGAGCGCCAGGCAGGGACCAACAAGTACCATATTTTAATGTTTTTTGGTATGACGCGGTCGGGGATCGAACCCGCGACCTTCCACTCTCCGGGCGGATGCTCTAACCACTACACCACGGAGGCGGTCGTTCCCAGGATGACTAGACCCTGGTGGTGTTTTGCTAGCTGATTGTTCAGAAGCAATATTCCATGGACTTTAATGTTAGGCCCGCTGTGCACTATTCGATTGATTCAGTGAGGCTTCTTCTGTGAATAAGATGGACAAGTTCCTAACAGATAATGTAACGGCATGTGGGGTTGTTGTTGGCGAGGTTGTTGTTGGGGTGCAGGAGGCATGGTGGGAGCGTCGGTATGGTGGGAGCGTCGGTATGGTGGGAGCGTCGGTATGGTGGGAGCGTCGGCATGGTGGGAGTGTCGGTATGGTGGGATGCGTCGGTATGGTGGGAGTGTCGGTATGGTATGGTGGGAGTGTCGGTATGGTGGGAGAGTCGGTATGGTGGGAGTGTCGGTATGGTGGGAGCGTCGGTATGGTGGGAGCGTCGGTATGGTGGGAGCGTCGGTATGGTGGGGTCGGTATGGTGGGAGCGTCGGTATGGTGGGAGAGTGGTATGGTGGGAGTGTCGGTATGGTGGGAGTGTTAGCAGTGTGGTGTTTCAGCTTTGTCGGTGTTGACAGCATGGAAGGGATTGTAGGTGGTGCTAATGGCAGCAGTGGTTGAAACATTGGTGGAATGTATGTCCCCAAATGCATGACGGAAACTAGGACAGGCGAGCAAATGTTTGATAGCATGAGCTTTGGACACAATCAGACAGGTCACGTTTACTAGCTGATCTTCTTGCTGCGAATAGGTGCCAAAATGCTGATGCGCTGGCTCGCTCGCTCGCTCACTCGCTCATTTTATCAATCAATCAATCAATCAATCAATCAAAACCCAGCCACCCCCACTCAGCTGATCTTCATTCAAGTATATTCTCATAACCTTTTGATTTAATAATTCACCTTTGGATTATTGTTTTGGTTGTGTTGTAAAAGTATGTCTTGTAATGGAGTCCTGACCTTTAATCAACAAGGTGCTGATCTGCTGAACAGACAAGCCAAATTACCAATAAATCTGCGACAGAGACCTGCTTTCCTGCCTAGCCATTATAGAGTCATTGCATGTATATCTACAGTCTAATGTGACTTGCTTGTTGTCTTGAAGGAATTGTGATAATCTAATTTGTTCAAAGACTAAAGTTAGTGATTATCAAATGTGAGTATTCACCTCTTGAACTGTTCCCTTGTTTTTTGGTGCCATGTGCCACTATCTGTAGCTCCAACCATTATACGTCTAAATGAACCACAGTCCTGTGTACATCGATGACACCTTTGATCAATTCTACATAAACTTTTCAACAAGCCAGTGTAATGTCTTAGATATGACATTTAAACAAGCCACAATCCTGTGTGCATCTATAAGCACATATATATGTACGTGTATGTATTGTTATAAAATGGATGGAAATGTAGCCCAAAAATGGAAAAAAATATATTAAAAAAATTATACGTCTAAAGTCTGCATTGGACAGCAAGTACAAGTCCTTGACAAGCACCATGTGAGGGTTGTAATTTTGAACCAGTTTGGTTTTAAACAAATTGGAACTGAATAGAATGGATAGAGATTGTAAATTTAGTGAACTTCTGTGTTGTGTTCAAGCAGGACAAGCCACAAACTCGGATGACCAGTGAAGTATGGTTTAAAGTAGTCCTTTGTCTAGTCTTAAAACTGATTGGTCAGTCAAACATCACTGGTAAAACATCGCTTATGTTGTTAAGCATTGCTTATATGGTAAGCATTGCTGATATGGTCAAGTATGGCATTGATGAAAGGACAATTCTCAGAATGGTTTGAGGACTGATGCACTACTGATGCACTACTGATGCACCTCTGATGCACCACTAATGCCTGAGGGGCACCTGCTACTGCTGGTGCAGTAAGTGGTTAAGAAATGTTGACAAGTGCAAGTTTCAAATCAATATCCATAGACTAGGTCATGGGAATTGTGAGTACGTGAAAGAATGACTGTAGTCGCACTGACTCACCTCCAGTAGTCATTTGTTTTATGCCAGTTGTCACATTCATAAGTTACACCGAGCAAGCTTCCTCGAGGTGAGGGTTAAGCTGTTAGCACCAGTGTGGAAAGGTTCGTCTGATGGTAGGAAACAAATTATCACTTGTTTTTTTTTAAATTTTGATCAATTACGTATTTACTTGTATATATGTATGTATATATATACAGAGAGAGAGATAGATAGATAGATATATATAGATATATAGATTGTAACGATAATCCTTAGCATTAAGAAACAAGTCATATTTGTCTCACATTAAGAGGGCTGAATTTAGAAAACATGTAGCAGTGCAACCTAATATTGAAAAATACAACCTTATATTCAGGATGAAATTTATGTCAAACCCTTACATGTCTTAACATACTTGAACATTCCCTACCTGTAAGCTTATTTATGATACTAAGGCAATAACCCCTTTTTTTATGTGGAATTTGTCTTGGGTTGGGTGGCATGACATCATAAAAATGGAGTACTACAAGATCATGTGCACGTTTTAACTTTGATAAATGTATGGGTACAGGGTGCAACCAGGATTTGTCTGGTGCAACTAGGTTTTCATGTCAACATACACACCGGTGCTAGGTAAATCAAGTTTTTAAGTGTGAGGGATCTTCCAAACTTTCAAAACACATGGTAAATGCCATCTCAAGAAAGAATGACAGTCAGTGGCTTGATCCTTGAAATGGGGCCTTGTATCTGTTTTTTTACACCTTATGAATTTAATATAGATACTTGGTATTTGGAGAAAATAATATCTTCAGTATATCTGTTAATGATATACCTGCCGGCACATTCTACTTCTGTTCATTGCATGAGAAAAGTGCTATAATGTTAAGTAATTATTCCATATCTAACATGTCATCCTCTTGCTGCTAAGTAAACCTTTCACTGGTCATTATACTCCATGTTGTCAGCATCAATGTGATACATTGTAATCAACAATGGATAAAGCTTGCACATTAGGGATGGAGAATGTATTACTTAACACCAGTGTTGATGTATAACCGGACTTATTCCCACCACTGTGTGGAGAGAGGACATTGTGTGAGACTGCTACTCTGATTGGATCAGGTCCAGACTTTATTGTTTTCTAAATGTCGGGCTGTGAACTGTTGCTGCACCAGCAGGACAATGCATGCCTGTCATGTTTTACAATATTGATGCCAATCAACAACCAATTTACACTCATGAGGAACGCATGTAACAATGTCATAGAAATCTTAGTGGGAATAATAAGTTTGTTTTGGGTTTACACTTAATGGCTGTTAATGAAATTGTTTTGAAGTGCATACAGCATATGAAGAAGTATTTTAGTATATGGTGTAGTATTGTTAGTAAATCAGTCACAGGTATGTTGATACATTATATATCATTCAGTGGTATGGAGCTCCAGTATTTATCCTTCAGAGTCCCGTTTCACAAAGCTCTCATAAGCCTAAGATCTCGTAACTTTTCTCGTAGCATTCGTACCTCTTATGTTACTAGGAATGGTACAAGATAAGTTACGAGACCTTAAGCTTGCTTACGAGAGCTCTGTGAAACAGGGCCCAGAGGTATAGTTAAACTGTGTAAATCAGACACAAGTATATGAACATGCACACATAGACACATATCATCATGGCAGCATTACCTATTAAGTGATATTTGGGGTGGATTAATGTTGTATTTGCAGGTTTTATTCCCTGCATGTACACTCAAACATGGGATTATCTGACAGTCTTGATTATTTCAAACTGTCATCATTTAGCTGGAATATCGCTGAATGTAGCATTAAGAAAACAAATATCTTTAAACGAGACAGGTTCAGTTACCTTCTTCTCTTACCTGCTTCTCTTACCTGCATCAGGTAACCAAGAAGAAAAATTACTATGTATTACTTGCTCAGACCAAATATGTTTGCCTCGTCATGATGTATGTGTGTCTTTCATCTTTAGGGAGGGGAGGTGGAGTAGCCTAGTGGTTAAAGCGTTCTCTCGTCACGCCAAAGACCCAGGTTTGATTCCTCACATGGGTACAATGTGTGAAGCCCATTTCTGGTGTCCCCCGCCGTGATATTGCTGGAATATTGGCATAAAACCCAACTAACTCACTTACTGACTCTTTTTCATTGTTATATGGTTTAGGATCCTGTTGATTCCTTCACAGCTGTATCATCTAATGCCCAGTTCACCTTACCAACAGCGTCTTCGTCTGTTGGTAATATAACCGTCTAGAATGATCTATTGTTCCAAATGAAATGGCAAAACAGTAAATCACATAATTTAATGCCTTTGGTCTTTCACCATGAAGCTCTGTCCTGTTAATATTTGGTGCTTGTCAGTTCATTTGACACCAAGTCAATTTTGAGGAAATTGTAGATATTTCAAATGAATACAGTATGTTTGTGATGCAAACTTACATCTTCTAATTCCTGCCAAGGCACCACATTTCCGATTTGTTTGTTTATTGTTATCAAGTGATACTGCCTTCTGTCAAGCTGACAATGGGTGAGAAGTTTGGGAATGTCTGCTGACTATAATCGAGTGAGAGAGTATAGTTTTATGTCACTTTTAGCAATATTCCAGCAATGTCACACTAAGGGACAACAGAAATGGGCTTCACACATTTTATCCATGTGGAGAAGTAAACCTGGGTTTTCATCACAATAAGCGAATACTTCAACCACTCGGCTACTGCCAACACAACTGACCAGCTGACAGTTACATTACTAAACAGATTCATCTAGATTATTATTATTATTATTATACGATATTTATACAGCACATATCCAGGCAACTAGTGCATCGCTGGTATATTTTCCCTCGATCATTGGATGTCAATCTCAGCGGCACATGGTTATCAATCTCAACTCCCTGGGGAGTATGCAACTATTGCAGCCACTCAGTTATTGTGGCTTTCATCCTAACGAGGTACCATTCACAGCTGGGTGGACTTGACACATAGTCACAGTAACCATTGCTACTGTTACAACTAGGTGTTTGCATCGTATTCATGTGGCCACCATCTGGTCATATACCAGATAGGGGCATCGTTTATGTAGTTTCACTGGAGTCTAAAGAGTCATGATGGTTCCCTCATACAGTTACTATGTAACCATATGGTCGACATTATTTCTGGAAATATTTGTTAACATATAACAACATCTGCTTCTGTTGGTTTGTAAATACCTTACCAATAATGTTTGGTGGTGTATTTTGCTTCAGAATTAGGAAGATTGAACTGATGCCTAGATCTATCAATGCCTACGACTATGTTGTGGTTTTCTTATCAGGCATTCAACACCCTTCTGAGAACTTCTACTGCAGTCTTATATACTGCACTGCTTTCTTGTCCACAGCTGAATATTCTGAGAACCTGATACATGTTACAATTATAGTTTTTCCAATATTATGAAAAAGGAGGGATATAATGCATTAACAAATACATTTGTAGTTGCTTGCAATGTCCACCCACTTTCATCAATATGCTGAGGTTATATACTGCAGGAGGCTACCTCAGCCAGCCCATTTCCAAGCAGTATGAACATCCTAAGATGGAGGTTTTACATTAATTTGGTCCACAACGCATCTACAGATGCTCTGATCCAAGCCTGGGCAAGAATTGCCATTTCATGAATATTATGCTGATTTTACCAGGCA